TGGATTGTTTTGTGTGTTAAGTGACCTAATACATGTAAAATACTTAGACCAATGCCTAGGAAGTGGTATATACTCAGTAAATCAATTCTGCCTATGGTGATGATAATGGTGTACACGTTTTTGTTGTTACTGTTTTTTTGTTTTTTCCTCTGCTTAACACCAGACATAGGGTACTTGCTTACAGAATAGCCTACATGGTATTATTGTAATGAGTATGTCAACTGAACATTCATTGTCTTATAGGACCCCTTTGAGCTCCTTCAGATCAGGGACCAGATGTTTATCTTTAGTACCCTTATAATCTAGCACAATGTTTGACACATTAGTGAGCTTTCAGTAATTTACTGAATTGGATATATTTGATGGGGATAATGTAACCAGTTCACTGTGCTCTGCTCAATATTGGACACTTCTGAACACCCAGTTACTCATGTCAGAAACTTGGAAATTGTCTTTGATAACATTACCTCTCAGCATCCTCATTTAATCTGTCACCAAAGCAGTAACTTTTAAGATCTATACGATCTATAAGACCAGAACTTTTAAGATCTGTAAGATCAGTAGCTACATAACATAGGTGGTTATATATTGAAAAGATGGTAATAGAATAATTGTTCTTTTATTTATGCCTTCTTGTAATGGAATTTCTAAATGGAAAAGAAAATAGATTTGTACTGATACCTGAAGTAGGAGGTTATTTGAAGGCAGTATTAATGAAGGTTCTACAAGAGGTGTGAGAGGAAAAATCATTCATTGAGTCAATTTCCTGGGGGAAAAAGGAGGAAGCCCTTTTAGGAGGCTGAGGGTCCTGTTCAGCAATAGTTCTAATGAACATCACTAGGAATCAGAAAAGGAATATGAGGACCCATTTTGATGTATTATTCTAGAGCAAAATCAAATGTCGCAGTTCAAATTGGGGAGGGTTATTATCCCTTGGAGATGATATGAAGATTTCACCAGAGGATTGACAGCTAATGAGAAGATTTTAAATTACCTTAACAATATAAATTGGCTGTGAAAATAATACTAATTAAAGCAGGGGGAAATCTACCTTCCAATAAGTGCAGTGGGAAGCTGGGAAAGTTGAGTTCTAATCTAAAACTTTAGTGGCCAGTTTTGCCATTAATTAGTGATGTGCTCAATACCAAGTAAGATGAGGAGGTCTCTGAATTCTGTTACTCTATCACCGTTTTGTGAGGTTTTGATTTCTGTGTTCTTCTGTAGGTGTGATCACTTGTTTCTAACAGCTGCAGCCGCTATGAACAGAAAGGCTAAACTTTGTTTTTCTGGATATTAGATTTTTGCTGGATATCATCCTGAGACCTATGATGTATTGTTTAGAGTTATTGTTGGTTGTAGTCACTTTAAGTTTACCTCAGTTTGTGCAATATGAGAAATACAAAATGTATTTTATTTTGTCACTTTTATTTAGTGTGTAATTTGCATTTTATTTCTAAGACCTAATAAGAATAAATAGTTTTGTTTGCTTTGGATATTTCTGGAATGGAGGACAAAAATTAATTAATGTTCTGATCTTATTACCTTGTAATTTTTCCTCTCAATTTTTCTTTGTTGTTGATGGACCATTTCTCTGACTTCTTCCAAACTGTAGGAGAGGAAAAAGTTTTCCTCCATTGTCTCATACTCTGTGGCTGCATTTGAAAATTAAACTGACAAAGACAAGATAACAAGAGAAAAGCATACAAATTTAAGTTTTTCATGACACGGAAGCCTTCAAAAGGAAATGAAATCCCGAGGGATTTGTTAAACCTATGTGTTTTTATGCTAGATTTGATGCAGAGTGGAAAGTTGTGGAAAGATAATGATAGGGCACCGGGTATGAAGTAAGTGTAGCAAACTGGAAATTTTGCAAGGCCTGTTTGTTTGGATTCTTCTCACAGTTCTCTTTGTCTTTGGAGATAAGGATGCTCCTTTTCTCCCACCATAGTGGAGGGCACCTCTCACGTGAAGTTTTCATGACCTCATCCAAGAGTGAAGGACAGATGATAATGGGATGTGACTGGGTGTAGGGAAGGTCACAGAGAGTCCTTCTTGCTTCTCCCTTTTTCTCATACTCCTTCAGTTTAGAATATTCAGTATGTCAGGGTGCTGTATTTTGCAGTAGGGTATCCTGAATCCCATCCTAACTCTTTAAGTTGTATGACGCAATTGAAAACTCCATGAGATAGATGTACCTCATTGTACTTTGTGTGTTTTGGAAAATACTAAACACGAAGCAGACTTGAGAAATCTAGCTCTTATTCCATCTTTACCTCTAATTCGTGTCATCTCTCTGTCATTTGGAATTTTTGGTGGTGGTTTTCTAATCGCTTTATCCACACAATAGCCAGCCACAAAAGATAGTTGTGAGAAATGTAAATCATTTTGAGAAAAAATCTGTTACCCAGTATTGTTACAGGATTTTTTACCTCAATCCCCGGCGTCCGTTGTTTTGTCACTTCAAAGAATGAAGAGGTGGACACAAGATGAGCAGCAGGCAAAAGTTTTATTAGAGTATAAGCTCAGAAAGGAAGAATAATAGGAAAGTTCTCTCTACAGGGAGGGGACATTCAAAGGTGAATAACCCACATCTACAGGCAAGGATCCTTGTTTTATAAGGTTCTGATCAGCACCCCTTTTTCTTCCACCTCGTTCATTCTCAGATTCTGTCCGTGCTAGCTGGATAACTCTAGGCGCTGGGATGTCCGTTCCTGATTGGCTCGGCTCCATTGTGTAAGGAGTTAGACTGGTCATATTGTCCCATGTATAACGTAAGTTTTATGGTTTAGCTAGGTATTTTTATTGTCAAATTTCTGAGGGGAACCTGAGGGGACCAGGTTATATTCTTAAGAGGGACCTTATACCCTTAGGGGTTTGCTGTGGTAAACCGCTCCCAGCATTGTTCCAAAATATGTGTTTTTCCCCACCCAGGGACCTCAGGTCCTAACCTTTCCCTCTCTGCCTATTTTATCCTGTCTTTCCCTATTATAGTATATATTTATATTCCCTATTATAGTATATACTATCTATCTATCTATCCACACTATTAGGTATATATTTAATATGGAAATAATTCATATTATTATATGAAGTAATTGTCTTGATCTGAAAAATGGTCTTAGTATCAAAAGGGAGTTATTTATGCCTTCTTTTTACTACTACTACTATTACTATTACTACTGATTTTTGAACTGTATTGTCAGAGCATTGGTAATATTAATGACAGAATTAGAAAATCTAAACAACGAGCTTTATGGAAAATTAATGACTAAACAAATAATATAAACAATTTATACTTAATTCTTTATATTTAATTTTTTTGAATGTTTATTTATTTTTGAGAGAGAGAGAGAGAAAGAAAGAGACAGAGTGCAAACCGGGGATGGGCAGAGAGAGAGGGAAACAAAATCTGAAGCAGGCTTCAGGCTGTAAGCTGTCAGCACAGAGCCAGACCCAGGGCTCCAACTCACAAACAGCAAGATCATGACCTGAGCTGAAGTCGTACACTGAACTGACTGAGCCACCGAGGTGCTCCTATAGTTAACTCTTTAAATCATTACCTTAAAATATTACAGTATACATAGATTTTTACTGTAAAAGATTCACACTATTTCAGGGGTGTGTGTGTGTGTGTGTGTGTGTGTAGTTGAAAAGTCATTAAACGGCTTCTTTTACTTTCCCCAACTTTTCTTGCCACAGGTAATCTTTGCCAGTAATTTGGTATGCAACTTTATATCATTTTTCAGTGCAAGGCATATACCTTAATAAATTAAGATGCTAGTTGGTGGTATTCAGTATTCTTTATACCCAAAAATCTCTTTGAAAAATTAAAAAGGAAGAGCACAGAGGTTAGTGTAAGGACATTTGTGTTCACCATTCTAAATTGCTTAATTGTTTTTGCTACCTGTTTTTTTTTTAAAGGAATAAAAGTTGAAGTCTGTAATATGTATTCAAAACAATGTAAATATTTTATGATAAATTCACCAAAATTATGTTAGTCTGTTTACATCTTAACTCACTTTTCCTACTCAGTAGCTATCTGTTGCTGATGCCTGAAGTTTGTTCATTTTGAATATTTACAATTTTCAGATATCCTTTTAAAAAACATTTTTTAAATTCTAAGATGTTTAGGTATGTGCATTAGTAAATCTCAAATTAATGGTTTCTGAAAAAAATAAGTTCCTGAGATTTTCTTTCAACAATACCTTTGAAACATAGATAAAATTACTTCCTGTCTCTCAGTTTCCTGTATCCATGGTAACTTGTTTTACTCACTGACTCTGGAGGAACCCATGTGAAGAGTGGTGTTTCCTGAGCAAACTGTGACTTAAAAAAAAAAAAAAAAAAAAAAAGTGGAGTGGGGGGAGGTCAACAGTGCCACAGAAAGAGATGGAGCTTAGAAATGTCGCTCTTCAGATTTAGAAAGCAAACCTTTACTTGAATCAGCCGGGTGTCAATAATATGATTTTCCTGTTCTTGGTAAGATTATTTATTTAAATATGAACTTTTAGCTGAAACGAAAAGTAATTTGATTTTGTGAAAAGCTATAGTTTTGTTGTTTTGTAATGAATTTGTATTTTCGTAAATTATAATGTTATTTAATTGATATTACCTTAATTTGAAAAGGGACAAATTCTTTTCAAAGACCATTATCCTTACGTCATCATTTGTTATTTGTGTTATTGTTAATTATAATATTCTAAATTGGCTTAGCAAACATTTTGCAGTTCGTTCAATTTGAATTACCATTTTGTCAAGCAGTGGGTTAATGGCCTGGAGGTATTAATTCTAGAACCCACTCCAAACTCATTATTTTATGCTATCACCATAGTAGGATTTATGATACCTAGTATTACTTGCTGATGTTAATAAAAATAAGCGAGATACAGACTTTTTAGTATTGTAAAACTTTGATTTGGAGAACTTTTTGATGATTTAAAGTTTTACCTTCTTTTTTTATAGCCAATTCTGATATGAACAGAAAAACCAAGAACAGGGCTATGTGTGGATTACATTTTTCTCTGCCTTGCCTACGACTTATTCTACTTGTTACCTGTTATCTTGTATTATTATTCCATAAAGAGATTCTTGGATGTTCGTCCATTTGCCAGCTCTGCACTGGGAGACAGATTAACTGCCGTAACTTAGGCCTTTCAAGTATTCCTAAGAATTTTCCTGAAAGTACAGTTTTTCTGTACCTGAGTGGAAACAATATATCTCATGTAAATGAGAGTGATTTAACAGGACTTGATTCTCTTGTAGCATTGTATTTGGATAACTCTGGCATTGTGTATGTATATCCAAAAGCCTTTGTTCATTTGAGGCATCTATATTTTCTATATCTAAATAATAATTTTATGAAACGCTTGGATCCTGGAATATTTGAGGGACTTTCCAGTCTTCGTAATTTATATTTACAGTCTAATCAAATATCTTTTGTTCCAAGAGGAGTATTTAATGACTTAGTTTCAGTTCAGTACTTAAATCTGCAAAGGAATCACATCACTGTCCTGGGGCGTGGTACCTTTGTTGGTCTGATTGCTCTTCGGATACTTGATTTATCAAACAATAAAATTTTGAGGATATCAAACTTAGGCTTTCAGCATCTTGGAAACCTGGATTGTTTGTATCTAGGAGGTAATAATTTAACAAGAGTACCATCAAATGCTTTTGAAGTACTTAAAAGCCTTAAAAGACTTTGTTTGTCTCATAACCACATTGAAGCCATACAGCCCTTTGCATTTAAAGGACTTGTCAACTTGGAGTATCTCCTCCTGAAAAATTCAAGAATTAAAAATGTTACTAGGGATGGGTTTAGTGGAATTAATAATCTTAAACATTTGATCTTAAGTCATAATAATTTAGAAAATTTGAATTCCGACACATTTAGCTTGTTAAAGAATTTAATTTACCTGAAGTTGGATAGAAACAGAATAATCAGTATTGATAATGATACTTTTGAAAACATGGGAGCGTCTCTGAAGATCCTTAATCTGTCATTTAATAATCTTACAGACTTACATCCAAGGGTCCTTAAGCCATTGTCTTCACTGACTCATCTGCAGGCAAATTCTAATCCTTGGGAATGTAACTGCAAACTCTTGGGCCTTCGGGACTGGCTAGCGTCTTCAGCCATTACGCTGAACATCTCGTGTCAGAATCCCCTATCCCTGCGCGGCAGAGCACTGCACTCCATTAAATGGACTGAGTTTACAAATTGTGTTACATCTTCGACAAATGTATCCAGAGCTTGGGCTGTAAAATCTCTTCATATTCATCACAAGACTACAACGTTAATGATGGCCTGGCATAAAATAACCACAAATGAGAAACATTTGGAAAATACCGAGAGTGTTACTCTCTGGGAACGAAGTCGTACTTCTCCTGCCAGTAGATTCTTTCAAGAGAATACCTTTGGTAATCCATTAGAGGCTACTGCAGTGCTGCCTGTGCAAATACAGCTTACTACTTCTGTTAACTTGAACTCGGAAAAAAACAGTGCTCTACCGATTGATGCTGCTTCTGTGTCAGGGAGAACATCTCTTATTTGTGCACAAGAAATTGAAAAGTTGAATGAGGCTTTTGACATTTTGCTAGCATTTTTCATCTTAGCTTGTGTTTTAATCATTTTTTTGATCTACAAAGTTGTTCAAGTTAAGCAAAAAGTAAAGGCACCAGAAAACTCAGGGGAGAACAGACTTGAATACTACAGCTTTTATCAGTCAGCAAGGTATAATGTAACTGCCCCGATTGGTAACACTTCCCCAAATTCTTTAGAGAGCCCTGGTTTGGAGCAGATTCGACTTAACAAACAAATTGTTCCTGAAAGTGAGGCACAGGTGATTCTCTTTGAACATTCTGCTCTATAATTCAACCTAATATTAGCTGTAAGAAAACTTCGGTGCCGTGGACATGAATTAAACTAAAGCCTCCTTATAGAATATAAACTTTACTTGGAAATATAAGGAGTTATATGAGCTTAGCATTAATAAATACATGTTTTTAATAATTTGTGAATATTGTATTCATTCAGCATACATCTCCCTTGATAGTTGCCATATGAAGTAATAATAATAGCTAATATTTCTGTGTACCAACACTATGCTAACAAATACTTCACATATCACTTATAATCCTTGTAAAGTAGTTATACATTTTATAGGTAAGGAAACTTAGGGAGATTGAGTTTAAGAAACGGTCCAAACTCTCACTGCTTTTGACACATTTTAGGTCTGTCTGATTCCAGAGCCCATGCTTTTAATTTCATGCTATACTGCTGCCTGGTGCTAATTGTGAATGACATAGGCATGGTTTGTCTTCTCGGTAAAGCTTGAAATCTAGAGGAGACACATGGTTTCTGTACAGGATGGTAAGTATTGTACTTGCAGGGTACTGTTGGATATAACATAAGTGGAGGTGAGAGATAGCTTTATGAGAGAAGTGACGTTGCGACTGGATCGTGAAGGGTAAATAGAAACGAAGAAAGTTTAATAATAGTTAAAGGTTACATCATATCATAGGAGGTGAAGAAAGAAAGAATCCTGCGTTTCATCAACTAACTGTATTCACTATAGCCAGAGTTGTGAGTGGTGATGTGAGATTTACAGCTGGAGAGAGAGATCAGATGATGAAGGATGTTGTAATTTCACGTTTTTCCTTAAGGCAGCAGGAAGCCATGGAAGGATTTTAAACAGTGGAGTGACATAACCAGATTTACTGTTTGGAGAATACGTTCTTTCTGGAAGGAGCAACGAGACGAGAGGCAGGGTTAATGGGGCAGGAATATGAATCACCAATCCAGAGGAGAGGCACTAGAGGCCTGGGCCAGGATAGTGGCAAACAGGATGGATGGGTTCTGGAGCTACTTTGGAAGTAAGATGAACTGCCTTGGTGATTGGCTATGGGGTGGTAAGCGATGGGCATGTCAAAGATGGTAGTTTTTGGCTTGGCTATCTTTGTGTTAAATTTACTGAGCAAAGGAAGGAAAAGGAGTGGGGATATGGGCAGGGACAGAATAATGAGGTCAATTTTAGGTACATTGAATTTGAGGTTCATATCTGGTCTCCCAAGTGGAAATATCCTGCAAGTAGAAGATTAGGAGAGATCTGTCTGGTAAAGGTCAGTAATTTGTAACCTTCCATCTGTCTCGTAAACCGGAAGTATATGATACTTTCTTAACAGTAACATCAACCATTTGGGCCATGATTTTGGGAGACAGGTAAGTGAGGAAGAATAAGATGAAAGAGCCCCCAGGAGACATTAGTAGCCTTGACTGAGAACCTTTAGTGTAGATAGATGGTAACTCAAGCCATGGGAACTATGTCATGTTTTTCTTTATTAGCTAAATTTCTACTTGTGTAGTGCTCTGCAGAATGTTGGGCATATATTAAGTGCCCATGCTTGATCTTTTAACAGGGACCTGAACCACAAATATATCTTAAAATTTTTCTCTTGAGCATTATGTATTTCATGTTTGTGCTGTCCTTCCTCTTCCCTCAGATTTCTATTTTTTAGTATTTAATACTTTGCATATGAAATTAGCCTGAAGCAATCCAGGAGTGTATAAATCAAGTGATAATTACTGAGTTTGTGTTGTGAAACTGAAGTAACTATAAGAATGTGTTATGTTGTCCAATGTACTTGCACATGGTGCTTCTCAAACTCAGAATCAACTCTGCTGTTAAAGCACAGATTGTTGTCCCTCACCCCACCCCACCCTGCCCCCCACCCCCTTCCCAGAGTTTCTGATGCAGTAGGTCTGGAGTGGGGCCTGTTGAGTGTGCAGTTGAACAGGTTTGCTGATACTGCTGGTCTGGAGACAGAGACTGGAGAGCTGCTGATGTATGATACTTGAAAAGCAGAAAAGGATCTAAGGAATGGTTTTGAGATGCACTAGAGATTGCAGAGAAATTACAGCCACACCTCCCCTGGCCCTGCCACCCCAAGAGTTTTCACTCTTCTGCTTTTCCCTGCCTAGCATAAAGTTTTGTCCTTGACTGTGATTTTAGCAGAAAACCTGAATACATTTTAAATAAATCTATTCTTACATAAATTGTTTCATTATAGAAGAGCGTGTGGTATGTTTCATCCTGAAAATGTTTTTAATAATACACTTTTGTTTTTGTGTCCTCCCAACTCTCACAACTGCGATTAAGTGTTTTCACTAATTACTAAAAGTACATACTCTTTGGAAACAAGAAGAATTCAAACAATAGGGAAATAATTAAAGCTAGGGGTGCCTGGGTGGCTCAGTTGGTTGAGCGTCCGACTCTGGCTCCCGTCATGGTCTCATGATGTGTGCTGTCAGTTGCAGAGCCTACTTCGGATCCTCTGTCTCCCTCTCTCGCTGCCCCTCCCCTGCTTGTGCTCACTCATTCTCTCTCAAACATTAAAAACATTAAGAAAATCTTTCAGTGGAATATTCAGAGTTAAGGGTAAAAACCCTTCCATGTTCCCCTTCCCCACCACCTAAACCACGTCCTCTTGAAGATGTTAGAAGCAGCATACGTAGCTATTTGAAGTTAGGAAATATCCGTAAACAGTATTTTTCTTGACCTCACAACAAAATTTCCCTGAAATCAAAGAAAGTAATTTAGTAATTTTATCAAGAATTTGTTTTTGTTTTTATGTGTAACTTCTAATTGATGTAGGCTTAACTAGAAATTGTTAATATCAGTTTATATACAGAACTGTAGTTGTGCACAGTGGTATGTGTTAAATACTAGTTCTACTTTCTGTCAGCAGCTTTTCCTTTTAAAGATGTTAGCTTGTATGACACTCTTACACTGTTTAAAAACTTATTTTATGGGGCGCCTGGGTGGCGCAGTCGGTTAAGCGTCCGACTTCAGCCAGGTCACGATCTCGCGGTCCGTGAGTTCGAGCCCCGCGTCAGGCTCTGGGCTGACGGCTCAGAGCCTGGAGCCTGTTTCCGATTCTGTGTCTCCCTCTCTCTCTGCCCCTCCCCCGTTCATGCTCTGTCTCTCTCTGTCCCAAAAATAAATAAACGTTGAAAAAAAAAAAATTAAAAAAAATAAAATAAAAAAATAAAAACTTACTTTATGTAAAATTGATTCAAAGTGATACATGCACAGAAACTTTTAGCACTATAATGTGTGCATTTGATTATTTCACATTTTAAGCAGCTCTACCTGGAGCAAAACAGCAGAGTTAAAGCTAAGTAATATTCTAAATTAATATAGCTAAAGGAACTTTTCTTAAGATTTCTGTATTTCTCTACCATTGACTAAAGTGTTTTGAATAGAGCACTCAAGAATAAAATTGTTGTGTTTCAGAAGGATAGTTTTAGGTACAGATCCTTTTTTTCCATTGACTTTTGTAAAAGTTGGTCAAGGTTGTAAGGCATACCAAAAAAGCTCCCCCCCTCAACCCTCTCCCATAACAAATGAGAAGTAGAGAACTCAACTACAATTTTTTATGGTACTATACTTTGAGAATACATTGAAAATTCCAGTGTGTTCAGAAATATGAATCTCATTTCTAGGAACTTAATTGGGAACTTACCCCCAATTCCCTCCTAGCATCAGAGTAGAGAGATTTGGTGTTAGATTGTCTTTGAGGACTTGATCAGTAAGTACAAGACACTTCAAGAGTAGGCAGGAAATCAAGGTCACAGGTGATGGAGTGGGAGCCTGGAGTCAAGGAAGACTGAGGTATCTCATGGGCTTCTGCAGGTGAGGGGCGGCCAGTGTTGATACCTGGAGACTAAGTGGTGGGGAGGGGTAAGGGTGGACATTGTGAGGGAATGAAGGAATTGGGCAGAATTCAGTGGTAGTCGGGAAAGAGGATTTTTGGATACCTCTTTGTTCTCCATCACCTTTTTTCTCTCAGTAGAGTCCTCGACTTTCTCATACATGAAGTTCTGGGGTTATGTTATTGATCCATTCTTCCTCATACCTGTGTCTTGAGTCAGCAGAAGTTGGACAGATTTTTATTCTCTTTCCAGTTGTCTTATATTTTATTTTAGGGTGCTCTAAGTAGCATAGAACTTAATTATATCTCACCAACACTAATGTTAATACGTGACAAATATTTGCCCTTAAACTACCCACACCCATTTTTTAAGACTTTTATTGATACATAAAGCACCTACAGGAGTAGACACGCTTGTGTAGCCACCACTCACGTCAAGAAATAGAACCTTGAAACATGACGTATATGTGGACATTTCTTGAACTTCTCAATTACATAAACACCAAAGTATTTAAGCTTTGAGATGGAGGAGGACCCACATGTACTTAGGGCATTTTTACTCAGTTATCTTTCCTGCATCACAACAATAACAATAAAATACGCTATATTTGTTTTTAAGGGGTGCAAAAATGGGAGAAAAAAAACCCTGAGGAACCTTTTACAAGGTTCTGAAAAACAGCTTTAATGCTAGGCCTTCCTACCAAATTGGTCCCCCAGACACTTAACCATGCCCTGTTGGATTTCTTGTTCCTTGTTAGAAGGATCCCTTTACTTGCTTTTTGTTACCAAAGCCCTCTTTTGATCATGTATCAGTTTTCTGGTGCACATTATCTTCATTTTGGTCTGAGCTGTGTGGTATACAGCACTTTTGCAGGAATTTAACTCCAAGCCACAAATATCTTTTCTTATAACTTTAATGACAGCACATTGGCTTTTTTCATATGTCTGGAAGGTGTGGGGGTGTGTGTGTGTGTATTCATGATTATATTGTATAGCTTTAACATCAACAGTGTCTAGCATTTACAATAGGAGGTCATATCCCCAACCACATAATTCTGAAATCTTTATTAAATTATTTTATACCCCTTTTTTAAAATGCAAAACTGCTCTGTCAAGTGACTCATATAAGCATCCAAAAGAAGCATTGCTGGGAGTTTTT